CCACCCATCAGAGGGCATAAAAGTTAATCCAGATGACACTGACTGGCTCTATGGTGTTGACAAGTCAAAATTCGCCATCGCTGGGGAGGGCGATGTCCGCAACGAGGAACACGAGAGCAACGAGGAACACGTAGATGATGAGATGGAGGACAACAACAGCAGCACTGACAGTGACAGTCTACTGGAAGAATTCACGCCTTCCAAAGTGATTATGAAGCAGGAACACAAGGCGGATGTTGTTGACTCCTCAGTACCAGTGAGTTTGTGAACAGTAATTGTGGCGATTCTGTGTCACCGTTAAGAGTACAAAGGAAATTTAATTGAGGAATCATTTGCACTCAGGTTGAAACACCTCAGCACTGTTGATTCCACTGCTGCTCATTCATCCAGCTGTTTGTGCATGTGAAGACCACGACTTAACTGTGGGACATGTGATCCCTAAATGTGGTACCACAATTTTGGCTTCGATCGAATGCCATTCTCTTTTGCCAGTCAGTGACTTGTCCTGTAGGCAGTTAGCAGAGCAGTGGTTGAAATCAACCCTACTTAAGCAGCCTTCCAGTGATGTTGGTGTTTGGTGAATAATGACGATACGTCTTGGTGAAGTAGCTGCATTTCTTCCCCCATATTTTATCGACCCCGATTGCCCCCGCTAGCCTAATGGAAAACTGTGTTCTACCTCTGCCGACAGATTATGGCAGCCAAATCTGAAGAATCACTTGAAGAAATAAGGCTTGCCAACCCTGACCCCAAACAGTCTCCACCAAGCATGCGTTTCGGGGACGACGATGATCCGGGCTGGAAGTCTCGACTCCTAATAACGGGAGGCAAGTTCTACTGATGCAGTCATGATTGGGCAATTTTAGCAATTGTACTTTATTCCGTGTCTTGGCAGCAATGATCTCAGTTGTGTGTTGCCAAATGCACTCGGTTGAACACTAGCAAACTGCAGTGTCGTACTCTGTTTTTGCAAGATACATCACACTATGCGTTTAGGTATAGAACTAGTTGCCTTGATTCACAAACCTCACCACTGACTGTCTCAGTTGTTTTTCCACATTAATGGTCTTTTTTATTGAGTCAAGAATTGGTGCAGTATTCTGGTCTCAGTCACCTTCTCAAGACAAAGTAGGGAATTGCGTGAGCTACACGATTTGTCACGGTGAATAGGTAGTTCAACAGCAACATGAATAGTGCCTCTTCATTCCGTAGCTAATTCACGACAGTTTGTAGATTGAGACGAACCCTATCTTTCATGTCAACCTATGCCAAGCAAAACAAGCTTTCTTTCTGTTTTCGTGTTGATCTCATCTAAAAGTCTGCTCGTCTTGACAAGTACCCGAGTATCTGGGAAGTTAAATTATTTTGACTGTGGCCTCTGTGCAACTCGATGAAGGAAGTTGTTTGGCTAGAGTTACATTGGACAGAAGGTCGGATTGTCCACCAAGATCAAGACTGACTCTGACCCTGACAAAATTACTTCGGTTATCACTGATGTCACCTGCGATATTATGAGCACAGTAGACTGCGATCGCTCACACTGTGGCCAGAACGACAAGGTTCTTCTTTTGATCCTCCACGAAAGGCGTCTAGCGAAGCACTAGAAATCTCTCGTCTTGAAGTTACGGCAAAAGGCTTTTTAAGTCGCACAAGCACTGGCATTTAATTGCCCGCATTCAAATGTCTGTGGTTCTTCTACAGCAGGCTTCTAAAAATGCTGCCTCCAAGTACACGCTGTGAGATAGATGGCATCATAAGCAATTACTCCTAATTCATGCCAAGTATCTGTCATTAATGGAATTTGCAGCAGATCATTTGTGCCTGTCTTGATGGCCACTGCTGTCCCTGTGTGTGATTAGCTCACATTGTTCACTGAATTCAGACCATAATCTTTGTTCGCTGAAGGGCTATCGTACCAACGCTCGATGTGTGTCTGACCAGTTTCCAGCACAACAGAAACAGCATGAAAAACTACACCCTCAACACAAGAATTCCATCCAGTGGGTGAATAAACTGACGGATTTGCGCATCCTGCCGCCCTACTCCTCCCCTCCCACCCCTTAAAAAATCATAGGGGTTTCTTCGTAATTCATTCTGACATGCATAGTCGATACAAACTCATCGAGTCTGGCCCTCTAATTTACTGTATTCTCTCAACATGGCTCTTTTATTTGCGGATGCACTAATCCAGTCATGTTCTGTTTCGTTGGTTTATCAAGAAGTCGGTACAGGTGCGTTTGACAAAACCAAGCGCCAAAATGTCGTAATTGTTGGATTCACAGGGGCATCGGCTGCAAGGCTTCCTCCCATTTTTAATTCTGCGCGGAACCAGTTAGAGTGTTGAGTCCCGCCAACACACACACACACACAAACACACCCTCGATAGTTGACTTCTTTCTTGTGCACCCAGGCGCGATGTCGATATGCACACCGAAGATGTGGCTACAACGCGCGTAGCGACACGGTTGTCAGTAGCCACTTTTGTTTTTTAGATGCAGCACCGGTGCAGAACAACTCAAAGAGGATGATCATTGAAGAAGTGACGAATACTACAGCCAAAAAAACAGGTACCCTATTGTTGAGCATCTATGCATGCGCATTTGTGCACAACATTGGTGCGCACAGGCGGGACAAAACTCAGTGAAATACTAGTTGGGAGGCACACTCGGACGACGTTCTGCAATGACGAGTTTTGCGTATTGGTTTGTGTTGCCCAGACCATAGCTCCCAATCCTGGTTGTGGTGTACTGTGATGAGCTTTTGTAGGTTGACGCCTTTAAGGAGCAGAGATGCGATTCAACAAAGCACCGAAAAACCGCTTTCATGAGCTCCTAGCCATAACCTCGCTGCTCTGAATTACACAAACATTTTTCGAAGAAACATGTATCTAGCTTCGGTTAGTAACACTTCTGCGCGACATTACATCCTCCGTCCAGGGTTTTCAGCTGAGCCCTCCCGATGCAAACTTCAACTCCACACACTGTGACACGTTTATTGTAATCAACAGACCCCTATTTAATTACTGATGCACTTGAGTACACCTAGTATTAACGCACAGACGCACTTTAAGGAATGTTTAACTCCCCAGAACTAGCCCCGTACAACCACTAGGGAACACCAATCAAAGTGTTCCTCCGCTTACCAGAGATAATGAAAAGTCGCCTCCTTGGAAGTGACCTACCCTTAAGTAAACTCGTGAATTTTAATCCCATCTACAAGGTTATTGCATATTTGGTGATGGGATTGGCCCTAAATACTCGGCACCTCATTTTACAAAGTTGGATGAAAACAGAACGTAGCAACGGCTATCTGAAGATTAAAATAACCATCGTGCCTGGCGTTTAACTTCTGCTGTAGCTAGTACCAGTGCCTAAAAAGCAAACGCGTGCCGCATTTGTTCTGTCTTGGAGGGTAAACTTTGTACACGAGCTGCAATCTTTGGCAGACTGAGAAGGTCAAAACAGAAAACCGTCCCACGTTGATTGTCCTGTTACGGATAAACGTTTCACGCAAGCATCTCACCAATAAGCCTGCTGTGCCCTCGTGAGCTAGCTTCTTTATGTGACAATGCTTTGGCATGTGTCGGTTAGAACGAGGGTTGCTATACAACCGTTGAATGACAACTCGCGTGAATAACAGTTTTCTTAAGATGGCCCACCACTTAAATTCCAGTTAGACTCCTCCTTTAAGCGATCTTTAGGGTGTGAACTCAGATAAGAAATTATCGCAGATGAGGGACGCAATGCCACACAATGCATTTGCTTTTTAATGCAATGTCAGGCGCTGTGGTCTTTTAACATCTCTTTCTGAGCATATCGAGGTAGACTACGTAGGACCGGCTTTGTGCCGTCCGACTCAAATGCTTGTATTTTCGTAGATTTGCATACCGCGGAAACTGTGGAAGCCAGCGACGATGACGACGACGAAGCCTCCCCAGTGGCTCTAATCGAAGAACTAGGTGAGGTGGGATGTGGAGAAGGTCGACAGCAAAACCACCATGACTCTGAAGTGGCACCCGAGGCAGCCTCAGCAGATGTGGAAGCCGTTGGTCACAAGTGGTGTTGTGCCGCCACTGCCTGTGAAAACCCTTGACCCTGTTGTTTAAGAAACTACCCTCACAATTGTAATATGTTGCAAAGTTCAAGCGAGTCATCTAACCCTCTTCACAAATAGCCATTTTAACATAACTCCACTGTCACGCGGAAAAACACAACCGCAAAATGGTTTAGCAATTCTTTCTCCTTACGTGATGCAACAGTTTACTGCTGGAATGAACAATGCGCCAAGCATAAATTATCCGGTTTCACCATATGAAGGGATAGAATAGTAAGGCACCGAGATGTTGCACTAAAATTCGCAATCACAATAAGCGTGAGCACCCAAACACAACCGTAATGACCCAGAACACGCAAGTTCAAGCCGGTGAATGGCGTATCGATTCGTCGTTAGCCCACGGTATCCACCGGTAAAAGACTCCCTAATTCATCAGTCGCCTCACGTCTTAGATATAAAATAACAAATTGATACAACGACAAGGAGTCACTCGATCGAGACGACGTCAATCAAACTAAGTGTCGGTCATGGTAGAATAGTTTGTGGGAACTCCTGATCGGCCAGGCTGGATGGACGTAAGAGGAGGCGTCTGTCCGAGTTGGGGATCGAGACCGAGCCAGGCGTCTCGACCACGCGAGGCAAGGTCTTCACAAGCCAACGCAAGGCTCCAGTTTGCTTCGTCGCGGCACACCAGAGCTCGACTTGACGATGCTGTAGGGTCGTCAGAATCATGAACTGGAATTTCAGATGGAACCACACTCTCCTCTGGGGCGTAAGACGGCGCACCTTAATGATGAAAACAGCATTTGAAGTTGCAAATCGATGCGACGACCAAATCGTGTAGTTAAGTGTGCACAAAGCCTAACCCATCCTCAGAAAATTAGTCATCAATGGTCACATTTAAATGTGGACCCCGCGGAGGTGCGGGTACTTTCGGTAATAGCTCATGATAAAACCCTCTCAGCTATGACGCCATACGCAAGGCAAAATTAACGACCAATACGACCAGCCACGGACCCCGCATTCACATTAACAGCAGGCCGGTTTACTCTCTTCACCTGTTCGCATTATGAGTATTTCAGTTTTCCTAAACAAGTAATGCCCAGGACAGACCATTGGGCATATTGCTGCAGACTTTCATGGCGTTATATAATGAGACTTCTAAGCAATTGACGACTGCCTTAATATTCTGCACATGCCCCGAAAGCAGGCCACCGTTTCGGGTTTAGAGAGGACGTCAAATGATCTCACCAAATATCGTTCTTCCGTGAGAAGTTTTCGGTTGTTTGTATTTTAAGTGTTCATCAGGGAAACATAAAACTAGTAATCATCGTCAGTTGTCCCACTTTTATTAAACATACTTAAGAAAAGTTCTACAAGTGCATGTGCACACAAATTAACAATTATGAGGAAGAGCCTGCAAGATATTGATCGTTAGTTCTCGGCCACCCAAAATCTACCATCTGTGAACTTACACGAGGTAGTATGCATATCTTACTTGGGGCACCAATTTGCTTTCGGCATGTTTGCCTCGCACAAATAACTCACCCGTGTCGAGAATATCTGCAACGAAGTCAAGGGGTAACCACGTGCCCATCCACTCTCTCGGATGCTTTCCTGTACGACACTCATCTTCACCACACAACGAATAGAGAACGCATTCCATCTCGTATGGAGTGACCACAGGCACAATAAGCGAGGGGTCATCAAAAACACTAGCCTGTGGACAGGCGACCAGAACGAGGGCATCGAGGTCAGGGAGATTCAGCAACTTGGCCTCGTTGATCCGCCCCACAACCACAGTCGTGAAGGGCTTTTTAGCGCGTTTCAGAAGGCGTTTGAGCCGTGCGACGATCTCAGGATAACGAGAAGCCGAGAGCGTGCCCATCTTGAAAATAAGAATTGCCAGTTTATCGTCTGAGTAATTAAAACCCAAACAATGACTGGATTGATTGGCAACACACAAACGAAAAACACTCATTCGCACTGATGGCCGTTGGTAATCTACTTTGGGGCTGTAGTAGCTGCCCCAACTGTCCTCGTCTTGAGGCTCATACAAACCAATGCCGCGGTCTCAAGGTAAGCCATACTTAATAAAAATTACAGAATGCAAAAACGACTCGGTTGTCGTAATGGGCGAAATTGTCTGATGCAAGTGGACTGAAATTGTCCATATCATGGTTAATTTCCGTCAATGGTTTAAGCCAATCAACAGCGGCGGTTGTTGGCGGATCTTTGACGGATAATAACAGTACATCGTTATCCACGTTAGTGCAACAGACCTACTGCAATGTTGATCAACGTGACTTCTGGGAACCAAGTAAATTTAACGAATAGGAGACCACGGAAATTCATAAATTGTAAGAATGGAGAATCAAATAGGAATACTTACCAGAATTCCAATGCGCCTAGCTGACCTTGCCCTTTCCATTAGATAGTAACGCCGTCGAAGAAACGAGGACGCCGACTTGGTGGCCTCGGCAACTTGCCCTGTGAGCGGATCGACGGTATACGCCTTGATCTGATATGCACCACCTAGGCTAACCAAAATCCTGTAGAAAGCCGAATCGCATTCACCCACGTAGACAAGAACATTCGGAGTACTAGAAGCACCAGTTCGTTTAAAAATCCTCCCGGCATGTAAGAACTGTGAAGACGTTTGGGTGTCGAGACATGGATACGCAGGCTCCGAAAACCAGACATCAAGGCTTTTTGATAATAAGTGGTCAGCCAACCCTCTGGCAGTTTCACGAAACCGAAAGTCATAGGCGAACAGAACCGCACCACCAAGAGACGAAATTTGTTCAAAAAGCTTATTGCTCACGCCAACGAGGTTGTTGTCAACTAAGGGGCATTTAATATTTCCAAAGACATAAAAAACAGCCACTTTCCCAGTCGATTTAGTCAGACAGGCATTACCGAAATGGATGATGGCGTCAACGCCAAAGAGACTGCCAGCAAGCTCATCCACACAACAGCTACAAAGAAAAGTTCAAAGAACTACGCGACATACCTACTATAGGGCGTATCACCTAAAATAACAATAGAAGCTGAAGTTTGCTTGCAAAACTGCTCGTAAGCATCGACTGAGTAGATTAGTAGGTCCGAGGTTAGCTGAAGCCCGACCTTAAGCGAAGTTAGACCAGCTCCAAAGCAGTTACTCGTGAGTATCCATTTTCATTGATAAAGGCTACGGCTTCGCTAATGTCAAAGCAACTTGTGAAACTGGCGTCCATCGAGAAAACAGGCAACCAAGCAAGAATAAGGGGACCACGCCATAACTATGAAAAACGCGCGACGTCATAATAACATTGCTTTACGCGTTAAATAAAGTTTACATTCTATATTAATCGATCACTCAAAATAGCACATAACGATGCATACAAAGAACATTTATTTCAATCAGACAAAATCAATACCAACATATCATACTAAATAAACTTTAATTTTGAAAAACTAAATCTCGGACGCAGGATATACGTCATGCATGTCAATAAACACATGATTCCACCTGCAAACATATTCTGCGCAATCACTCTTCTAAACCTGCTCAAAAACTCATCATTTTAGAAATACCAAAAAAACTCACTAAAAAATCACAACCCATTTGGATAAGCGCCTAACACCAAAAGCGTTACATATTCAGGAAAACTGAAGTGCTGTTCAAAGTATCCCAGTGCAAAAAATGGTCATGATGAGAACTGGCAAAGAGAGTTAACCGGTCAACAGAATGTTTAATTTGCACAGAAGCATTTGACAGCAATGATTTTAGATTGACTCAGAGGGAATTCAGCACACGAGCATCGTAGCAGCCATCTCTCGGCGAAATCCAGCTTTCGGTACCCAACACATA